CTGCCTCAGAGTGGAGAGATCGCAGTCTGTTCTTCAGTGAGCTCTCCAGGCCACACTCTCTCCGTTTCTGTCTGTGCTGCTATAAACTGCAGCATCCTGGGTTGTGGGACCCTCAGCAAGCCTCCCAGTCCTCGCCTCCAGGTCAGGGCACGTCTCTGCCCTTTGTGCTTCTAAAACCACCAGCCACCCCCAGTTCGCACATGCAGCCCCACCTCTCCGGGTTTCCATCCGGGGGGCTGCCCTAAAGTCCTTTCCCCATCGCTACCAGTCTGCGAGTCTGTGCCCAGTCCCCAGCATGGGAGGCTATCGCTCACCGGCGGTATAGGATCCCGATGGCTGGGCTCCCTCCCCCCTTCCATTTATCCTCTGATATGTGCCCGGAATCACAGCTCCCCAGTTCGTACCTCGAAACCAACTGCCTGCAAGATTCTGTTTGTGGAGATCCAGATCTATCTTCTTACATCTCAGGCTGATTTCATGGGTGTTCAGAGTGGTCTGGTAGATATCCAGCTCAATTCTGGGGACCGGTTGGAATAGGGTCCCCTACTCCTCTGCCATCTTTCCCCCACTTCATAATTTTTTCTTTGATCTATAAGTTAGGCCTATATGTGTCTTAATTTGTAAACCTGTGGGGATTTTTCAGGTTCTTTATTTTTGTTTGTGTCTAACTTAATTGCATTGTGATCAGAAATTATGGAAAACATGACTCAATAGTTCAAAATATCTTGATGCTTGCTTTACATCCTATAACTTAATTTTTATAAATGTTCCACATTGCTTCAAAATAATACATTCTGCATTTTTTAGTTTCACTGTTTCATATATGACTATTAAATAAATCCAATTTATTATATGTACTAGTTTGCTAGGGCTGCTGTTAACAAAGTACCACAGACAGGGTGGCTTAAACAACAGAAATTTATTCTCTCCCAATTCTCGAGGTTAGAAGTCAAAGTTTAAGGTGTGACAGTGTTGAATTCTTCTGAGGCCTCTCTTCTTGGCATGTAGATGGCCATTTTCTCCTCATGTCTTCACATGGTCTTCCCTCCGTGTATCTATGTCCTAATATCGTCTTATAATGACACCAGTTATATTGAATGAATGCCTACTTTGAGGACCTCATTTTAACTTAATTACCTCTTTAAAGGTGCTCTCTCCAAATATGATTCACATTAGAGGTACTGGGGGTTAGAACTTCAACATATGAACTGGGGGCGGGGCAGTGTGTGTGACACAATTTAGTCCAGAACACTGTACTTATCAAATGTTTTATATCCTTAAAGAATTTTTTGTTTGCTTCATCAGTTACTGAAAGAAGCATTCAAATCTTCTACTGTGATGATGGATTTCTCTCTTTTTCTATAAAGTTCTATCAATTTTGCTTCATGTATTTTGAGGCTATTTTATTAGTGTATATAAGTTTAGAACTTTAATAGCTATTTGGTGAACTGAATATTATATTACATAGTTACTCTTTAGCTCTATCAATGCTTTTTGTCTTTTGCTCTGTTAAAATATAGTTACATTAGCTTTCTCTTTAGTAGTGTTTGTGTTGTAAAGATGTTTACATCTTTTTACTCTCAATTATTTTGCTCTTATATTTTTTTGATGTGTATTTTACAAACAACATATGGTAGGGGGTGGGATTTATTCAGTTTGAGAATATTTTTCTCTTTAAAAAGGTATTAAGTCCATTTTATTTATTATAATTAATGATATATTTTGATTTTTTTTTCTACTAACTTACTCTTTCATGAGAGCTAGTATAGCACAGTTTTTAAAAGACTTAGGAAATACTGCCTAGGTTTGAATACCAGCTCTATTATTGACTACCTGAGTAACGAGGGCTAGATACTTATAATTAGTTATATTTAGTTATTACTTTATTTTTTTAATTATCACTTTAAATTGACATTTTTTTCTGTTTATTTTTTCTTTTTAATGATAGAATATTTTTTTCATATTTCATTCCTTTCCCTCCTCCAGTTTGGAAATTATATTCTCTGCCCTGTTCTTTTAGGGTAACATTTATCAAGCATACTTGTTATCAAAGTTTAGAATTAATTCTTATCGGGCGCCTGGGTGGCTCAGTTGGTTAAGCGACTGCCTTCGGCTCAGGTCATGATCC